TGCCTTACACCTTGCAATCGCAACCACGTCAACACAACTGTTACGCGACCGCAACCGCTCTTCGAAATCTTATATCACTAGTTTCTTCAACTAGACGTGGACAGAAGTTGCAAATGAGCATTAGAGATTTCATTAAATTAAATGATATGGAGTAAAATAGAATGCAAAAATTAAAAAACATATAATAAATAAAATAAATAGATGTGTTAAGAACTTCATGTGTTCTTCAAACAGACCAAATGAACAATTTTCAAGACAAAATAATATCAATGTAACTCATCAATCATAAAATATTTTCTACATTTAAGAACTTGCAATCACAAACTTCATATTAAATTTAAGGACAACAATGAGCTATAGCAATCAAAGAAAATGTTAAATCTAAAATTTTCAATACATACAAAATAAATAAATAATAATAATAATATAATAATAATAATAATAATAATAAATGGAGAAAAAATTAAGTAAGAGAAAGCAAAAACAAGTTGATGACTTTTAATTGTAGAGTTGCTTTGCAATATATTTCCTATTAGGAAAGAATTAGTCATTTCACATGCACTTCACAATCCTTTAAAACGCACCTCCAATGCCACCAACTGTCAAAATAGATTGCACGGCCACCCCGCATGCCTCAGCTAAAGCCATCAATCCAAGGACAAATAGACCAACAGATGAAATTTAAAATGGTGGCGGGTGGTGGCTAGTGTTGGGTGGTAACAAAAAAAAAAAACTAAAAACTCAAAATGGAAACACATTTTTTGTGTTTTTGTTTTTTGGCCAAATTTATACACTGAGACCACTGATTTATAAATCAAAAATTTTATCAAACAAGTTTTTATTTGAATTTTTAAAATTTTTATACATATAAACAAAAAACTGAAAACGTAAGTGTTACCAAACGACATCTTATCATTTTTATATTTTAAATATTTATTTTTATCAAATTAATTTCAATTTTTCAACAAAAATTAATTTCAGAAATTCAAACCAGACATGACAAAAGCTTTCCCTCTTTCGAACGGAATTGGTGTGCCTGCTGTGCTGGAGTGCACAGCAGTCACTGCTGTGCTGTCATTTGGGCCCTTCTCGGAGCCCATTTTGATAATCCGAACCGTTCACATTTTAGAATACATCAAGTAGAACATACCAGTAAAAAATCAAGTTAATCGGATATCGTTTACCCATTCATCTACTCACATTTGTATTCATTTTAATACTTTAAATTACAATTGTTATTTATTTTTGTAGATACAAATCTGAGTGGATGAATGGGTAAACGATATCCGATTAACTTGATTTTTTACAGGTATGTTCTACTTGATGTATTCTAAAATTTGAACGGTTCGGATTATCAAAATGTGCCCCGAGAAGGGCCCAAATGACTGCACAGCAGTGGCTGCTGTGCACCCCAGCACAGCAGCCACCCCAATTCCCTTTCGAACAGGTTTGTTTCCTCCTCTATATCAACTGCTGTGTCTTTTCCTTTATAGCTACCTGCTTCTCTCTCTCTCTCTCTCTCAAAAAAGTGCTGAAACTAACCAAACCCATATCACAATTCATCTCCTACTAAATGGGTTCTTCTGGAACTTGACTTTAACCTCTCTCTCTCTCTCTCTCTAACCCATCGCAATTGTTCTTCAGAGATGGATGTGTTTGAGTTGTGGGTTATCTTCATTTTCCTTCTTGTGTTCTCTTCACGAGCTCAGGTTTCGAATTCCCAAAATCTGACTTGCAATTCGAACGATCTAAAGGCACTAGAGAGTTTCTAGATTGGGTTAGATTCAGGGACTTTTAATGATTGGGGAAACTCAAATTCAACTTCTACAAACCCTAATTCCTGTAATTGGTTGGGAATCACCTGCAATTCATTTTCTTCTCTTGGTTTTCTCAACGATCCTATCGATTCTGGTAGGGTTGTGAAATTGGAACTCTCAGGGAAGAGATTGATGGGCAAACTCAACCAAGCTACTTTCACTGGCTTAGACCAGAACCCTAAACCTCTCTATCAATTTCCTCAGAGGCCCTCTTCCTCTATCTCTGTTTCAATTGCCAAATCTACAAGTCATCGACCTCAGTAAAAATGATTTCTCTGGTTCAATTCCGATGAGTATCAACCTTCATTTTCTCGAAATCTTCGACATTTTTGATAATTCATTCGAAAACTCGGTTCCTGTGTGGATTTGTATCAATTCAACTCGAATTCGGATCATTGATTTTCTTGTGAATTACTTCTATGGTAGAATTCCATCTGGGTTTGGGATTTGCAGCTCATTAGAGCACCTCTAGCTTGGTCAAAATTTTCTCGCTGGAGATATACCAGAGGATATTTTCCGGCTACCGAGATTGAACTAGTTGGGTCTTCAGGATAATCAATTTTCGGGTGAGCTTAGTAGTGGAATTGGTAATCTCTCTGATCTTGTTGGTTTGGATATATCATTGAATTCGTTTTCAGGGCCTATCCCAGATGTTTTTCATAGATTTGCAAAGTTACAAGAATTTTATGCTGAATCCAATAATTTTTCCGGTGGAATTCCCAATTCTCTATCGAATTCTAGGACTATTACTTCACTTGTTTTGAGAAACAATTCTTTGAATGGTGTAATTGATTTGAATTGTTCTGAAATGACCCATCTGGTTTCGCTTAGTTTAGGCACTAATCAGTTCGGCGAGCCAGTTCCTAATAATCTCCCCCTCTGTCCGAGCTTGAAAACAATCAGTCTTTCGCAAAACAACTTTACCAGGAAAATCCCAAAAAGCTTTAGGAATTTTCATGGCCTCTCTAGGCTTTCATTATCGAATTCGAGCATTTTTAACCTTTCAGCCGCCCTTGATATCTTGCAACATTGCCAGAACTTGACTATTTTGGCTTTTACCTTTAGTTTTCTTGGTGAACAATTGCCTTCCTATCTTAGTCTAGGATTTAAAAATTTGAAGGCTTTCTTTATTAGCAATTGCAGACTCACTGGTGTGTTCCCCCAGTGGTTGGGTGGTTTAACAAATTTGCAATTGTTGGATTTATCGGGGAATCAATTGGATGGAACAATTCTGCCATGGTTGGGTAATTTTGAGTTTCTGTTTACATTGACTTGTCGAACAACTCTTTTACCGAAGAGATACCAAGGAACTTGACTGAATTAAAGTGCCTCATCTCCAGGGATGTCTCACAGGAAAACCCTTCTCTAGGCTTCGCGTTCCCACTTTTCCTCAAGCGAATCACAAGCGCTAGCATGTTGCAGCCTAATCAAAATTTGGAGGTTTCCACCAACACTTAACCTCAGCAATAACTTTCTCACTAGACCCATCAGGCCCAAGTTTGGGAACCTAAAAAAATTGCCAAGTTTGGGAACCTAAAAAAATTGCATTATTTGGACCTAAAATGCAACGATTTATCTGGAAACATTCCTGAGGATTTGTCTGGTATGACGAGCATAGAGATTTTGGATTTTTCCCATAACGAACTATCCGGTGCTATATCTTTTTCGTTGGTAAATCTCAGCTTTCTGTCCAAGTTCAATGTTGCTTACAATTAACTATATGGGACAATCACTACTGGAGGGCAGTTTGATACCTTTCCAAACTCAAGCTTTGAAGGCAACCTAGGTCTATGTAGTGGTGAACATTCGTTCCCGTGTCCGATTAGCAATCAAGTTCTTCAAGTAGTCTCTCCTAGCAAATCGATGTAGAGAGAGATTATTGTCAAAATGTCATTTGGGATGGGATTTGGGACAACTGTCGCTGTTATATTCTTGTTTGTTCTAAACAAATTAACATTTTGCAAAAAATAACCTTTGAGTTAAATATTAGAGAGATTTCACAGAGAGGTCCCATGATAAATAAAAGACGGAACTGTATGATGGTGAACGAACCATTGATACTGAAAAATCTAGAAATCCCCTAGATGTTGATTTGTGATTATGTATCAATTTTAAGCAGAATATAACAATCCCAATCAAACAATCAAACAATCAAGACAAAGAGACACAACAAATTTAACGTGGAAAAAACCACAATTGGACACCCCCAACTGTGATAAAAAAAACCATGGGCAACAGCCACAAAACAATCCACTAAGAAGATTTAAAGGAATTACACATGTATACTCTCTATTACCTAGCGAATCCACGCCTAATTGAACCAACCTCTATGTGCCTCTTCTAACCCGTCTTCACCTCGGAATTGTCTTTACGATGAGCCACCCCGGAATCCACCAAAGCTTCAGGCTCGAATTCTTCAGAATCCACAACTGAAGAATAACTCTCTCTTTTGTGTATAACAAACAAACCTTTGATGTACTCTCTTTAGATCATGAGTTGAAAACTCAATAAAAACATCAAAGAAAACTCCCAAAGTATCCCCAGATATAAACCCTAGAAACCAAAAAGAAGATCTGGAGCAGTTCACCCAAAAATTTGTTGTTTCTTGGCTTCATTTCAGTACTTTTTTAGGCATCTTAGGTCTTACATAATCTCTGTTTTTGGTCGGATTTGGGCCCTCTTGCATGCTTGTGATATTTAGGCTTGAAATGTAATGCACAAAACAGTGCGACGATTTGAAATGCACAAAACAGTGCGAAGTGATCCATGTTAATGTAATGGAAACATATTCCCAGTTAGAGTTGTGAGGAGATCCAACAGCAGGTGAGCCGTGTCATTGCTATAGTTCTCACTTGGAAAATGAAAGGTCACTGGTCCTCATGGCCCAGGATGAAGAGGATCAATTGTCGAAAAATGGTGAGGCAGAAAAAGGTAAAGAACCATGAAGCATGACCACGAAGGAAGGAGAGGAACAGGACTTGGCAAGAGTGTAGTCTGAGTTTATCTGCTGGGCGTTTGCTGTCTTTCATTCAGGTAAGGTATTCAGCCTGTTGCAGGTATGGTATGCTCTCAGAATTAGCAGGGGAGGATGATTCAGAGGAGATTCTAGCAGTATGTACAGAGGAAGATGCAGATGCAGATGCATGGAGTGTGTTCCTGGGGGCTAATTCACCTTGAATCTGGTTTGGGGTGGACTGAGTTAGATGCAGATGGAAGGCTGCAGATCTGTGTTTGTTTGTTTTGGTATTCTGCTTTGTGCATAGATTTGGCTCATAACAGCTGTGTATACGTTAGTTCTTTGATCCTTTTAGTTTAGTCTATCTGTTCTTGCTTTCTTTTATTGTTCTCTCTTGTTGGTTTCCTCACCAACTGGCGCTTGGTGCTTTTCTAGCACCAAGCTCCTCTTTATTGATGAATATTGCTCTTTGTATGTTCATCAATAAAAGATTTATCTTTTGCCGATCAAAAAAAAAAAAAAAAAATGTGGCATTTTCAGTTTAATTTTGAACATGAGTTAATTTTACCATTTAATTAGAGAAAGAAAACTTGAAACAATGAACGATTAAAGTGAAAAAATAAAATAAATAAAATTTAAGAATTAAATTTAAAAAAATAACCAAACATAAACGAATAAAAATGTAATTTGAAAAATTTATTATTCAGTGTGAATTTTGAAAAATTATTGCACAGAGAGAGGTCGAAAAATTATTGCACAATATTACTATCCAAAGTGTGGTTTAGTTTTTGATACACAAAAGGAGGTTGAAAGAAATTATTACTGAATAAAAATATGTACTTTACAATTGAATAATAATACACAGAGAGAGGTCGAGAAAGATTTGTGTATTATATGTACTTTACA